GGCTCAGGTCATGATCCTGGAGTCCCGGGATCGAGTCCCGCATCGGGCTCCCTGCTCGGCGGGGAGTCTGCTTCTCCCTCTGACCCTCCTCCCTCTCATTCTCTCTCTCGAAAATAAATAAAAAATCTTAATGAAAAAAAAAAAAATTTAAAGTACAGCATGTTAAGTAGTTAAGTAGGTGTATGTATGTGTTTATTTTTATTCATGGTAAATAATAAAGTCTTTAAATATTTGGGGCTCTCTTAAATCCTAGCCTAGGGCCAGCTAAGAGGTCGTACTCTCCTGATACCCTCCTGATAGATTTGCATAACTGATCATAGCAACACCTTTGCCAAGGGAGAGGCCTCATTGAAATCTTTCTCCTCAATGCTATTCCCAAGTTACTTAATGAACCCATTTTGCCAGTAAAAAGCTTGTATACATCAGAAAAAATATTGGGTCGGAATGCATATGTTTAAGATAATTGAACATTTTCATTTTCATCTTCTTTCAGAATTATTCTCCAGTACTGCTATGAAAACATAAATATAGAAGGTGTTTTAAATTTTAAAAACATAGAATACCTGGTAATTATATTCATTAGACTCACAGCTTCAATACACATGTGGAAATGATCATTTAAAAAAATTTTAGTATTGTGAAAATTCATTGCTTCTCAAAAACAGCATTTATTCACAATTAGCATATTAAATATTTGGATTAATGTTCTATTTTACACTCCTTATAATTTCTTCATAGCCACTTAAATCATATACAATTAATTTAGAATTGGGTCCACTTCAGACTTCCTTGATTTTCTTATGAACTGAGGAGAATTATTTACCTAGGCAAATTAACAGTGTAAATATGAGTTTTTTTAGTTGGTTCACCTAAGAAGCCAAATTATTTTTAAAAGCATCATTTGCGTATATAAAATTAATGTATAGATGAGCCTCATCTAACATTAAAGTGTAGTCTTTACTTTGAAGACATTTTATAGGCAATCAGTTTATATTATTACATACTTTGAAACCAGTTAAACTGCTTTTACTTTTAAATCAGTTTATATTCTTACATACTTTGAAACCAGTTAAACTGCTTTTACTTTTAAATCCTGGCTAACCTAGGTCTTTCACAAATTCATAGTTTACCTACCCTTTCCCTTGTTATCAGTCAGCTTTTTGCGTAGATTATCAGATATATTCACACATTGAACATCCCCTTTTTTAACATTTAAGATGACTTCTGTAAAGTTTTGTCTTTTCTCACTGGTGACCTTCGTGCCAAAGTAAGCAGGTCTTGCGTAATACTGAGCTCAGCTATCCTGGATCAAGGAGGACTGGGGGGAGGCGAATCAGTAAGGTACTTTCCTTTGGGAATACCCCATAATCTAGTGCCAAGTTCATTGCAATTCATAGCCTAGGACAATAACCAATTGTCTTGGTTTCTGTAATATTTCACAGGCAGTTTCGAAGATTTTTTTTTTTTTTAATTTCCTAGGGGAGCTGGACTCTTCTGTCATTTCTGCTATGATCTATTACTTATAGTTTTAGTTGTGGATTTCTTTTGTTCAGGAGTAGTTATAAGTCAAGTGTAAACATTTTCTAATTAAAATTATTGACATACTTTTTCTATTCCTCATGCTTTAGTTAAGTCTAGAAAATGGTCTTTTTATCTACTGCTTACTGCAAAAACATGTTTTTCATGACTTTGAAATGTAATTTTGATAATCACCCTTGAAGGAGAAAGAATGTTTTTGTATCAGAATAAAAAATAAAGTTTTTTTTTTTTCAAATACAGTTTCATTTTTCTCTTATGCATATTACCTCTTTTTTCTATTTACCATCACAGAGAAAAGCTCCAGCCTTTGGAACTTATCTCACTAATTCAAGGTCAGCCAAATTAATAGCTGGATGAGACTAAGTAGAAATCAAGAAAGACATATTTTTTAAAATAAATGTCATTCTCCTTTCACACAGGCATTAAAGTATTATCCAAACCTGATGTGGAAAAACTGTTGTTTTTATGATGCTATTTGTATTAGGCAGCCAATAATTTGACTTCCCTTTGTCACATTCTTTGTTCTCTTTTATGCCCCCAAATATCTAACATATTTAAATGAGATAAACTGTCTTATTCATCCATATAGAACTACATTTAGGAGATAGAAAAATTGATATAGGCAGGTATCCTATGGTTTGTGATGTTTGAGGCTATTTTTCCTATTGTTTATGGGTTGAGAATAATACTGGAGTTGTGAATACTGTTCATGTTATTTTGTTATTGTTATACTGTTAATACACAGTAGAATATTGTAGCATACTGATGGAGAAACTCCTCAGCCACAGAGAAAGGACATCCAAGATGCTAACATGTGGGCTTATCAAAAACAAAGGCAGCTTGTTACCCAATCAATCTATGATGAGAAGCTTTTGATGATTTATTCTTTAATATTAAAGGGCAGAGTCGCTATTTATTGATGGCAAGTGTCAGCCATGAATGAGAGGGACCAACATATGAGAACCTGGAGGAAATGGGCACAGTTGCAGTGAGCAGAGGAAAACTTGTACAAAAATTTTAATTGGTGCCTTTAGAAAGATGAAGAAAGATGTTGCATCTCTAAAACAAATGATTAAATGGTAACATAAGAAAATGTGCTAGACCGAAAGACCATGAGTGTCCAGGTTGTGCTCTGTACAAAGATTTACATGCCTAATCCAAGGCCTATTATCATGAAATGTAAAAACATCAAGAATAAAATAAATATCCTAAAAGCTTTCAAAAAGAGAGTGGAGCACGTAGAAAGAAGTTTGTATGAGTGAATCTGGACATCTCATCAGAACCTTGCCAGCTTGAAAAAAAAAGAAAGAATACGAAATCCTGAGGGCCAGTGTTTTTCACTTTGGAGTGCTGAGCACAACCACACCATCAGTCAGTGGTACGGATGAAGACGTGTTCAGATAGGCTAAGACAATAACAACAGAATTTCCCTGGCATTCTTTTTGGTGAAGTTTCTGAAAGAGTGCTTCAGCAGAATTAAGCAGAATAATAAAGAAATAAGAATACATAGCATTCAGGAAAAAGGGAAATGAAAAAAAAAAAAGAAGAAGAAAGAAAGAAAGAAACCAAAGAACAAAGAAGGATGGATGACACCCGGTTTGTTATGAAAGCAACACACACTTGAAGAAAGTAGGAGTGGCATTTCCAGCAGAAAAAAATAGAATCCGTGAATTATGTATATAGTACATTGAGTGTTTGGCAAATAGTATTGGTTTTTGATGGATCTCATGGAGCTTCTAGAAAACGTGAACATAGGTACCTGGAATATGAGGCAAAAATTTATTTAAAAGAGTGTTATTAACTCTTGGAAAAATTAAACATTGTAGCAAAAGAAAACATGATGAAGTATACCAATTGGCTCTGCAGTGAACAATATCTTTGCAGTTATACTAATGGAAATGCAATTAATTTTAAAACTGTGCAGTGATGGGGCGCCTGGGTGGCTCAGTCATTGAGCGTCTGCCTTCTGCTCAGGCCATCATTCCAGGGTCCTGGGATCGAGCCCCACATCAGGCTCCCTGCTCGGTGGGAAGCCTGCTTCTCCTTCTCCCACTCCCCCTGCTTGTGTTCCTGCTCTCGCTGTGTCTCTCTCTGTCAAATAAATAAATAAAATCTTAAAAAGAAACAACAACAACTGTGCATTGATTATGTTAGGAGGGGAGAGAGAGAGTTGTTTAAGGGGCTAAATCCTCATTTACCATACTAGAGAAGTTAGTAAATATTGCTTAAAAATCAGTAAGTCTGGAAATAGCAGAATAAGCATGGGTTTTAAAATATAGAAAAAAAGAACAAAGAAACATTCAAAAGAATTAAAAATGAGTGTCCCTTGAGGATGACAGGGGCCACTGTTGCCCATAAACTTTTTTAATATTTAGGACTCTATAAATACTCTTTGCAAATGTCCCTTTCCTAAAAAAATTTAATTTTAAAAGGAATTATGGCATTTAAAATGTCAGAGAAATAGAATAATTATGGATTGTATTCAGCTTTCTACATTTTTGTCGTGTTATTTTCTAGAGTTCCTGGAATAACTCTTGCTACAGATATTATCTGTGGTTTTCCTGGAGAAACAGATCAAGATTTTCAAGAAACAGTGAAGCTTGTGGAAGAGTACAAATTTCCAAGCCTCTTTATTAACCAGTTTTACCCAAGACCAGGAACTCCTGCTGCAAAAATCCCACAGGTTCCAGCACAAGTGGTAAGATATTTCTCTTGCAAAGTATTGGGTTCATCAGCCAGTAGCTACAAAAAGGCAGCTCGCTTGCCTCCCTTAACACGACTGGTTCAGGGGCGCCCGGCTGGCTCAGTCGGGCGTCTGCCTTCGGCTCAGGTCACGGTCCCGGGGTCCTGGGATGGAGCCCCGCATCGGGCTCCCTGCTCGGCGGGGAGCCTGCCTCTCCCTCTGCCTCTGCCGCTCCCCTTGCTTGTGCTCTTTCTCTCTCAAATAAATAGACACAACTGGCTCGTAGTATCACTTTTAAGTTAAACAATTTAGAGAGTTTTTCAAGATGGGGCCAGGGGCAGGGGAATATTGGATGACTTGAATAACTTTAGGCAACTAAAATATCACCTTTTTTTCTTTTGAGGAGTGGGATTCAGATGACACTGGGGAAAAATAATAATCTGGTATCACCTGTGTTGCTAAGAGAAATCTTGGATATTTGAAAAGAAGGCAACATTTAGATATCTGAGAGCAAAAGAAGCTTCATGTTTAGCTGAGTTCCGTAATTTGTTACTTACTGGGGGCCCCACGTCTTCCCTCTTTTTCCATGGAATAGATTTGATGTTTGCCATCCATCTGTCTATTTCAGATTTGTGTTGCTTTTACACAAATGAACCTCAACTTAATTTCATCCTTACATGTTCAGAAATGTATTAGAATAAGATAATTTAAAATGAATGTGAAAAAGTTTGAGATCCAGTAAAGGCAACCTGTTTTCCAGAATGCCTCAGAAATTAATGTTCTTAAAGTAATTTAGTTTCTAGATTTGTTGGCTAAAGATGAAAAAATGTTAATAAGCTTTAAGAGGAAGTCATATGTTTTTAACTGAAATTTTTGTTTTGTTTCAAATAACTAAAAGAAATTATGCTCTACCATTAATTTTCCTCAAAGCTTACATGAATAAATACTAAAAGGAATAACCCAGAGCTTGTTATTTTTTTCTATTATGCCATATGTGAATATCAAACATAAAACATACAGATTTTTTATTTCAACATTTGGTTGAAAAACCAAATATATTTTTTATTTGTATATATAGATAGATATAATATATTTTAAAGTCTGTTTTCCCCAATAAAACTGAAGTGAATATCATTCTTTGTTTTCTCAAAAATTTTGACATTTTTACTTGACAAGTTTCTGTGTATACAAAGTAAGAAAACGTTTCACAGGTAGACTGTTTAATTTTATTTCTAATTTAATCCATGAAGAAAGCAGATTATCACACCATGGACAGTCAACTTTTCACAAACATAGAAATAAGTCAAATTAATTCCTTATTTTTATATCTAAATTATAATTGCTTTTTTTTTTTTTTTAAAGATTTTATTTATTTGAG